CTGTCTCAGAGAAACAATGATAATAACAAAGAGAGAAATGTATCTGTTTCCCTCATTTGTGCTGCTTTGTATCTTATTTAAATTCTCTGCCAAACCCAAGCTCACTAATGCTTTGGTTTCTTCTCTATGTTTCTTGACAGTCCCTATTCAGTTAATGTTTCTGCGTGGACCAGAGGAGTCAAGGCTCCCTGTGTTGTGTGTGCTGCCCAGTGTTCCAGCACCCTTTGTTGGGAAGACTGCCCATTCCCCCACCGAACTGCTCTGGCAGCTTTGGTTAAAAATCAGTGGGCCATATGTGTGTGGGTCTCCTGTCTTTCCCCCAGTGCACCTCTTCGCCTGAGCTTTTTTTTTTTTTGAGACAGGGTCTCACTATGTAGTTGAGACTGCTCTGGAACTCACCATGTAGCCCGGGCTGGTCTCCAACTCATAGCGATCCTCCTGCCTCAGCCTCCCGAGTGCTGGGATGACAGGTGTGCGCCACCACGCCGGCTCACCTGAGCTTTTTAATGTACCTCCTCTCATTTCGAACACGAAGCCCTCGCCTGAGGGGAGATCTGGATTCCCTGTGCCCCAGTTACCTCACCAGTTGTGCCCAGCCTCTCTCCCCAGCGGGGAAGACGCTCACTTCTCCTCTCTGTTTCTGTGAGGCCCGAACTTCTCTACAGACTTAACTGTGCTCTGTGTGTGGGCAGGCAGTTCCCTTTCGCCGGTGGCTGTGGTTCTCCATCCATTCTGTGAGGAGAGTTGGATGGATATGCTACCTGGGTGCTGGGCTGTAGCTTAGGGTACAGTGTGGACTGCACACCCCAAGGCTGTGGGTTCATCCTACCTAGGAGTAAAGATGGAGCTCCATCAGCAGGAGCAAAATCTTTCTTCACTCGCAGTGAATCCAGCCCAGCCACGCTCTCTGCTTTCACCTCCTCAAGCACTTTGTCTCTGTTCATCTCTGTCCCCCTAAGAAGCCCAGAAATCCCACGCTTTTTTTTTTTTTTTTTTTTTTTTTTTTTGAGACAGGGTCTCACTGTGTGGTTCAGGCTGGCCTTGAGTTCATCATGTAGCCCAGGCTGACCTGGAACTCACAGTGATCCTCCTGCCTCAGCCTCCCGAGTGCTGGGCCACAGACATTCGTAAACCCCACGTGCCTTTCTTTTCCCTTTTCTGGCCTCATCTCCCATCTTAGCCCATTTCAGAAATTCTCTCAAAGCGCTCTAAAGCTCACGGATTCTGAGACCTTGGATGAAATCCCCCAGTTTCAACCTCATTTCTGCATGGGCTCCCCTGGTAGGCCGCTGCTTCTCAGAGTCTCCCCTCTGTGGCCCTTGTGGCCCTCAGTGTAGGACAGGGAGGTGCCATCTTGATCCTTCTATCCTCCTCCATCATTCCGAGCCACTGGAAGGAGGGAAAAACAACCCCAGTGGCTGAAGGTCCATCACTGCCAGTTACTGCTCCCCATTACGGCCCCTCAGCTCATCCCTTGACTATGTCACATAGCCCCTGGCCCTCAGTCACCACATTAAAGACCACGCCTGCTTTAGTTGTTTGCTTTGTTGTTGATACCAGGGATCGTACTCAGGACCTTGTGCTTGAGAAGCAGGCATGGTGCCACTGAGCTAAATCCCTGGCCCTCCTGCTTTAGTTTTTATTTCAGCATTCATGCAGGTGCACAGGCCCTTCAACCCCTTGACCTCTTCTTCAAGATCTTGGTTTGGCCAAGTGGGGCACACATCTATAATCCCAGCTACTTGGGAGGCTGAGGCAGGAGTGTTGCCATTTTGAGGCCAGCCTGGGCAACTTAGTGACTCTGTGAGACCCCATGTGAAAACATAAGGCTGGGGATGTAGCTCACTGTGAAGGCCATGGGTTTAATCTCCAGGATAACGCAAACAAAAACTACACACACATTAGAAGGGCCTGGCAAAGCTGCGCCTGACCCATCTCAGACCCCAGCCCTGCCCATGACCTCAGACTGCCTGGGACTGAGGATAAACCCCAGGGCTGAGCACTCTCGCACCCTGCATTTCTGAGGTGCCAGGGACCCAGCCCAGGGCCTCATGCCTGGCCTCTTCCCTCCCACTGAGCCGCACTGACGAACTCCACTTTTAATTCATTAATTTTAGAGCAACAGGGGATTGAACCTGGGGCCTGGAGCCCGAGAGACAAGGACTCTAAAGCTGAACTGAATCCCCAGCCCACCCCCTTTTCTGTTTCTGAGACTGGGTCTCGCTGTGTCACCCAGGCTGGCCTTGAACTCATGGCGATCCTCCCACCTTAGCCTCTGGAGTGATGATGGGGTTATTGGTGTGCACCACCAGGCCCGGTTAGCCCTTTATTTCAGGACAGGGGCTCAGCTTGGGTCACAGGTGCGCACCCTGGTACTTGGCACACCACAGCCCGAGACTCCTCGCACTGCCCCTCCTAGAGGCTCTGTGGCGCCTCCTCCCCACCGTGCTCGCTCACCACCGCTCGTGATTCGGCTGAGGAAACAGAGGCCCTCAGAGTGGGAGACACGGGCGGCACCGCTCGCTCCTGAATGTGCCTGTCCTGTCCTCCCCAGCCCGGCCCAGCTGTCCCTTGCCCCTGTGTCCGGGTTGCCCCAACTTCAGTGCACCAGATGCCATCCCCACGTGCCAACACCCGTCTCCCTCCGCCCAACTGCCCTCCCCAGGGTTGATCACTTCTGTCTGCACCCACAAAGCTCCTGTGTCCGCCTCACTCCGCTTCTGTGCCGGGCCTTTGACAGCATAACTCCTAGACGGCTTTTTGACCTTCGAGCCCTTGCTTTCCCTTATCGTCCCGAGACGTCCCGACCCTAGACCTGCCTTTGTCAAGCCCCTCTCTCTCTGTGCCGAGTCCAGGGTCCGTCCTTGGGTCTCAGCTTCCTCACATCGCCTCCTTGCAGCTGCTCGTGCCACCCCCTTGGTGCCCTCTACCCCTCCAACTGCCCGTCCCGTCTCCTTTGCCAGTACCTGCTCATGCCCAAGGCTGGCCTGGAGGTCCTGTGCCTGTCACTGTCCCTTCTCCGGATTCCATCTCCCGTTGTTTCCCGGGAGACTCCCAAAGCTCAGCCTCGGCCGCTCACTTCCAATGCATGTGCCAGTTCTCCCCGGCCCACCATGGCCCACTTCCCTGTAGACCCTCGACGTCTTCAGTGACAATTTGTTTCGTAGTGCTGAGGACGGAACCAAGAGCCAGGAGCGAGTTGGCAGGTGCTCGCCCCAGAGCTGAAGCCCCAGGGCGGTGTCTGCTGAAGGCAGAGAGGAAGACCTTTCCCCTGAGGGCTCGGGAGTGCAGGCAGGAGTGCAGGCTGTCAGCGGGTGGCTGAGTCACTGTCCCTCTGGCCCCGGCCAGCTCTGTGTACAGCATTCCTGGCCGGGCTCACAGCAAGCAGGTGTCTGCCCGACACCTGCATAGGCGGCCTGCCCTGCGACCCCTACCTGCTTTCTTTCTGGGGTACAGGGATTTGGTGACACATTCCAGGGACGCGCGGCTGAAGGACGCCACCCATGCATCTTGCAAGTCCTCTGGCAAAGTGGGGCTGTGTCTCTTGGACTTGCAGCCCTGGGGGACCCCACAGGTGCAGAAGCCCACCCCACCCTGCTCCTTTTTCTTTCGGAGCCAGGGACCCCACCTGATCCAAAAGGTGGGCCGTGTTCTAGGGCCCAGGACCACGGAAGGGAGGGCGGGATGCTGTCTGCCCTAGCGGGAGGCTCCCGTCCTCCCAGAAGCCTGAGAGGGCTTCAACTCAGAGCCGGCTTCCCCTTCCGACACCAACCCAAGCTGCAATTTTGCAAACCAGGAATTAAGGCCTGGATACTCAGCGCCTGCGGTCTCCCGAAGTGGGCGGATCCTAGAGCAGGGCCGGTTCCTGGGGCCAGGCGCAGGGGCGGGAGGCTTCCACCTGGGTGCCCAAGCAACCTGGTCAGGGCTCTCCTCTTCTTTAGGGGGTCTGGGGAGTCTCAGCGAAGTCATCAATCGAGTCCCCCGTGTCCGTGTCACCGTGTCCGGGTTTATTCCTGACGCGCACACGATCGGTTTCAACATGCAATTTGCGATGAAATCTGACGGATCAGCAATACCATAATTAGTTGCAAATGTCTGTGCTCCTATTTGTTTGGTGTAGGGGCTTTTTCGTTAAAGTGACAGAGGCCAGTAAACGCCAGGACTTTGCCGAGGGACATAGGACTGGTGGCTGCACCACGACCGGGACAGGTGTGCTGGTGTGGACACCCAGGGAACGTGACGTAGAAGGCGCCAGGAGTTTTCCTCTTAACCCGTTTGGGTTCACTGGGAGAAACCTGGGCCTGCCAGGGCCATGTTCAGTCCAAAGGTAGGGGAGGACTGGAGTTGCTGCAGCGTGCCTTGGATGCCTCCAAAAACGGAGAACTCCCCTACTTGGGGAAGCTGCCCGACTTGTGAGAGGCTTCTCCCTGGCCTGGCTCCCACCTGCCCGATGCAGGTCTGCTCCGTCTTGCCTAGGATTGGGCCTTACCTCAGAAACTGACCCTGCGCAAGCTTGTGCCTAAGCTCCAATGTGTTCACCTGAAAAACAGAAAGGGAGATTATTCGGTCGTCCTGTCTCAAAGATTATAACGTTTCCTAGTTGCAAGTGACAGAAAATGATCCCCCTGCCCTTTAGAACAAGGTCTCACTAATTCAGATGGACTTTGAGCTCACTATGTAGCTTAGGCTTGCCTTGAACTTCCAGCAATCATCCTGCCTCAGCCTCCTGAGTGCTGGGGTCACGGGTGCCCAGCTTTTTAAATTTGTTTTTTGAAGGGTGCTAGAGATGGAACCTAGGGCCTCACCCATGCTGGGTCCGTGCTCCACCGGTGATCTCTGTCCCAGGCCTTTCTATTTTGTGATAGGATCTCAGTAAACTGCCCAAGCTACCCCTGAACTTTTGATTTTCCTCTGTGTCAGCCTCCTGAGTAGTTCAGATCACAGGCCTGTGCCACCACGCCTGGCAAAAAGACTTTTTGTTCTTTTGTTTTGTTTTTCAGTGTTGGGAATCACACCCAAGGCCTCCAGCCTGCTAGGGAAGCACCCTGCCCCTCAGCAGCATCTTCCGTCCTTGTAGCTGTTAATGAAGCGGACTGACCACCTTGACTGAAGCGTTAGAAAGAACCGATGACTGGGAAGCTCGGAGAACCCCAGACAGAGGGCCCCACAGCCAGGGGGTGGACTCCGGTCACACCTCACAGCCGGCTCCATCCGGGCCTGGCCCCCGTCGCGGTCTCCAGCGCCACGCAGCAGACCCTGGCCGCATCCGGGGACCATCACGGCGAGCTCCCTGGGGCTGGTCGCCCTCTTGGGGCCCCACTCCTGGCTCAGTCCCCAGGCCGAGTGTCGGACCGGCAGAACCGAGGTGGAGTGGCACCGTCAGCAGGAGCAGGTGAGGCCTCAGAAGGAGGCAGCGCTTTACTCCAGGGATGCTCCCGACCTGGGTAGCCAAGAGAGAGAATATAGAATTGAACAAAAGGAACCCGAGTGCAAAGCCAGCTTGGGCACCTTAATGAGACCCAGGCCAAAGAGTATTTTAAGGAGAGGTGGAGGGCTGAGGAATGCATTTCTGGTGGAGTCCATTCCCCCCAGTGAGTCCAATAGGAAGCGACCCAGCCTGTCACAGCGGCACGAGACATTGCACCGTGCGGAGCTGCAGAGTGGTTGCCCACAGAAACCATGCCAGACCCTGAAGTCCAACCAGAGTTAATGCCAGAGATTCGTGTGGTCAGACAGATGTCCTCCTGTCTCTTGGTCTTGGAGATATGAGGCTGGAGTTGCAGGCAGCTGTCTTGCTACCAGTCTGGGAACGGGGCCAACACCGAAGAAAGTAGAAATGAAGAATGACCTGATCCTGAGGACATTTTTGAGACCCTGGATCAAACTGTACCTGAAGCCGCTGAATTTTTCTATTATGTAAGCCCACCAACCAAACAGATGAATAGTTTTTGTTTTTGTTTTGTACTTAAGGCAATGTGAGTGAATTTTCTGTCACTTACAGCTATGCGTTCTAATCGGTTCTCTTCCATATACCTGCAGAGTGCCAGCCTAGACCTAACTCCTTGGGACCGCCCACAATGAAACCATCAGAGGGCCTTCTCTCAGGTGCAGTAGCTCTTTAGAGCCTCGTTCTAAGTCAGCTCCCACAATCGTCCCACTGTACAGGTGTGAATCCAGAGGTCCACTGGCCAGCAGGTAGGGTTACTCAGCAACAACCTACCAACCGGCTCTCCACATGGGAGGAATTCGGTCCCATCCCTAACCTCATCACATCCCAGGAATAAGTAGGGAAGCCAGTGGGATGGATGGAGGACGGCCGGACGCAGTCTGATGGTACAGACACGTAATAGCCAGTAGGATTTTCAGCAGAGCACATTCCTTTTCCATGTAGAATCGAAAAAAACTAACCCTAGGTCCATTGCAAAATCCACCCCAGCTTCAGGGCAATACTTAAATACTTCAGAGCCCTATGGTCCTGGCCCAGGTCCCCACAGAGGAGCCAGGACCTGGCAGCCCTCACCGCCCCCTCCAGCAGACCCTGCAGGCTGCTTGTAGTTCCTGGCCCTGCCTGCGACCAATGAACAGCACTGCTTACCCTGAGGGAGCACTGACTTCCCCAGGGAAGATACAGAGAAGCGGTTTGCAGTGATGCCTCACGCCCTTGGGTGTAGAGCTGAAAACAGCTAGATGGTTAGGAAGTCCCGCTGGTAGAAGTGATGGGGAAAGCAGGGACCCATGAATTAGGTAGGAGCGGCTCAGATGGGACCAGATCGGCCCCTTCCCTGCCGTAAACTGTGGAGCACAGAACACCACTGTTTCGCTTTCCACACCACATGGCCGTGTCGAGGTGCCTGGTCTGACAGATTCTTACCCACAGAAAGAAAACTCAGCTTCCCAGACTGGTCAGCTTCAAATAATCCGCCCGGTTGTCAGATCTCGGTTCTGGTTTGGATTCTGATTCTGTAGGCTCCACTGACACCGGAACAGGCCCCTGCCGCCTCCAGGGCCAAGGGCCAGTAGCACAGGTTTTCCGCAGACCTCAACACCTCAGCCGGCCAGGGACCCACAAGAGGCTGCAGGCCAGCATCTCCGATCCCCTTCGAGCAGTTGTCCTGGCAAGAATCTGCAGCCTGAGAAATGGGTCGAGATGTGCCTTTCCCTACCTGTAGAAAGAATTCTAGAAACATCACAGAAGCTTCAGACCCTGTTTTATTTTATTTATTTATTTAGGTACCGGGGATTGAACTGAGGCCCTTGCAGTTGCGAGGCAGGTGCTGGAACCACTGAGGTAAATCCCAAGCCCCACAGACCTTTTTTTAAAAAGGCACATTGCATGCCTGTAATACCAGCTACTCGGGAGGCTGAAGCAGGTAGATCCCAAGTTTGAGGTCAGCCTGAGCAACTGAGTGAGACCTGTCTCAAAATGAAATTTTTAAAAAGGGCTGGGCATGTAGCTCCGTGCTACAGTGCTTGCCTAGCATATAGAAGGCCTTGGGTTCAAGTCCCAGTAGTGGGAAAAATACCAATCCTAGGGAAAGCAGAACAGAAACATACCATATGGACCAACAGTTCCACGCACATATGCATCCCAAAAGACATGAAGAATCTGTAACAGCCCAAGCCGGAAACAACCCAGTTTTCCATCAGCAGTGAGATGAATAAATAAGTTATGGTATAGTCATAAAATGGAATATAGCAATAAGACCAAGCAAAGTATCCTATCCTTCCTTAACATGAGTGAATCTCACTCAGCAAGAGAAGGTAGACATAAAAACAGTACATACTATAAGATTCCATTGACATATAGTTCAAAAAGTGGGCAAAACTGGGCGGGGGATTTTGCTCAGTGGTTTTGCCACTTACTTTGCAAGTACAAGGTCCCAAGTTTGGTCCAGTACCAAAAAAAAAAAAAAAAAGAGTTAAAAAAAAAACAATTAGGAAAAACTACTGAGCCTGCCTGGTAAGCTCAAGGTCCTGAGTTCAATACTGGGTACTGAAGGAAAAAACAAGGTAAAACTAATCTGCAGCGATAGAGGTGATGATAGTGGTCACCCCAGCACAGGGACTTGGAGAGGAAGCAGGGGCTTGAGGGGCTAGGGACACCCTGTTTTGATCACACAAGTGATGGTCACACAGGTGTGACCACAGGAGTTGTCTGTACACTCAAGATCTGTGTACTTTTTGTAAGTATATTATACTTCAAGAAAAAGTTTACTTGAAAACTGTTACTGGGGCCGGGTGTGGTGGCGCACTCCTGGAATCCCAGCACTTCGGAGGCTGAGGCAGGAGGATCGCTGTGAGTTTGAGACCAGCCTGGGCTACATAGTAAGCTCCACGTCAATCTCAACTACGTAGTGAGACCCTGTCTCAAAACACAAAACAAAAGAAAACAAAAAAATAAAAAACTGTTACTGGTTGTGCTGGCACATGCTTGTAATCCCAGCTATTTCGGAGGCTGAGGCAGGAAGATCCTAAGTTTGAGGCCAGCCTGGACAACCTAGTGAAATCCTATCTCAAAATAAAAGAATTGAAGACGTGCTCAGTGGCCGTGTCCCTGCATTCGACCCCCAGCACTGGAAAATAAATAATAAATAAGCAAGTCCTCTGACCCAACTCACCCCATGTAGGAATTCTTTTTTTGGTAGCTGGAAACAAACTTAGGACCCTGCGATTGTGAAGCAGGCAGTGGCACTGAGGTAAATCCCCAGACCCCCATGTAGGAGTTCTAAGGAGAGCCCAGAAACAGAGCTACACCTTCAGTACAGACTTTTACTTCTGCTGACCCGTAGTGACCTGGTGACCTGGGTTGTCCAAAGTCCTCGGATCTGATGTCAGCAACCTGAGTGGTGGGGACAGAGGAAAAGAGGGAGGCAGGCCCATGGGGTGACTGTCCCCAGGGGGCAGCTCACGGTAGCAGAGGGCACCCAGGAGGCCCGCAGAGGCTGCTGCCCACAGCCTTCCCAGCATCACCTGCTCACATACACCTCTTCTCGAGGCTGGGGAGGAGGGGACAGTGTACCTCACTGCAGGGCCAAGGCAGGGCCCTGGCCCAGGCCCACCAGAGTCTGCCTCTATTTCTCCAGGTTTTCGTGGCTCGGCTCCCTAGCTCTCAGGGCGTGGCTGGCCCTGGACGAGTTTCTGGTGCTGTCACCTAAATGGGCTGTCGGTGGGGTGCCGAGAACTGGCCCCCCTGCACCTGCTCCCAGTCTGAAGCTGCAGGAGACACGCAGTCCCAGGAGGCCCTCAGAGGGCCCTGCTCACAGTAGGTGCTGCTGGACCCTGGCATAACGTCCGGACGGAATGGGGCGTCGGGCTTGCAGTGGGGTCTGTAGGGAGGCACCCGCTCCCTTGGTGGCAGGATCCTCAAGTCAGGCCGGGGGAGGTCAGGGCCCACCCTAGGTCACACAGCAGTCGCTGGCACATGACTGATTTGCTGGAGAAAAGACTCTCTGCTTAAAGACTAAGAGGTGGAGCCAGAGAGAAGCAGATGGCTTCCGACTGCTCTACCTTCACCCCATTGTTCGGACGGGCAAAGAGAGTCTTAAAAGAAACCCTCACGGTGTTCCTGCCTCCGTGTTCGCAGCTGATCTGTGAATCCTGGCCTGGTGCTGTGGGATCTCGCCCACTCCTCCGATCTTAGCTCCTTCCCCTGCGCTGCGTTTCTTGGGGAGACAGCCCCGCCCACCCCCACACTCACCCTCTGCCTGCCGCTAGAGCACAGTCACTGGGAAGGGTCAGCTGGAAAGCCACGTGGGCTCTGCGGTCCTCGGGTCCCTAAGGTCTGCGCTGTAGCGCCTCCTCAGCTCGGCCTGGGAGCGGAAGCAGCCAGAGACGATATGCAAATGGGCAAGCGTGGCTGTGTTCCTTTATTTATGCACACTGAAATTTGAATTTCATATAATTTTTACATGTCAAGAAGTATTCTTCTTCGTTAAGTTTGTTTTCAACCATTGAAAAATGAGACAACTATTCTTAGTACATGGGTTGTACAAAAACAGGCAGAAGGCCAAGTCTGGCCCTCGGGCCATGGTTTGACAACTCTTTATTCTGGAATGTTCTGTCCCGGGCTCTAGAATATTCTCCCCAGAGTCACTGAGGCGTGAGGTCATGTCACGGGTGGTAACAGAGGGGCCAGTGTTTCCTGAGATAAGGGATTTGGGGGGCTAAAACCAGGACAGTCCCTGGCCAGTCAGTGATGGGGCACCCTGTGTGGTAATCATTAACCCATAGAGGGACAGACTTTGGGGGCCAGACAGCTGGGACACCAGAGTGAGCCCCTGGGGTCTGCCCCTGCCCTGCCTGGCCCTTGTTGTGTGCGGCTGGCCCTGTCCCATTGTGGCTGGACCTCCACAGGGAGGTGGCCCGTCATCCTCCAAGCAAGAAAGCTTCTGTGGTCTGGGAGCTCTCAAAAGGCAGGAAGTTGAATCATCAACTCCTGTAACGTCTCTGGCAGCCCGTGGGTCTGCCCAGGGAGCTTCAGGCCCAGGGGGCTGGATCCATACTTTGCTGCTTTCTCTGAGCAGGAAAGCGGGAGCCAGTGAGGCTCCTGAAGAAATGTGAGCTGTCGAGTCGGGGAGAGGCTGGCTCTGGCTCTCCCACCCAGCTCTGGTCTGTACTCACTGGGTGGCTTTGAGCGACTGCCCCACCCTCTCTGTTTCTTGCCTTCCGTTCCTTGTACACAAACGCTCATTCCTGAAATCTGCTTGAATTGTATGAATGGTGGCCACAAGGAGGATGCCAGGTTCCGAAGAGCTCCCAGCAGGAACGTAGGATGCCCAGATTCACATCCCTGTGGGCTACTTGCTTAGGAACAGGACCTGATCAGCTACCCCAGGGCAGAGACCCAGGAGGCTGAGGAAGGAGCCAAGTCTGGATTTAGGGGGACAGAGGAGGAGGGTAGGCGAGGAGGACCTGCAGACGATAATCATACCCCTGTTTATGAAACACTTCATACTTGCCCGACCCCTCACAATGATTCTTAAGATAAGGGCTGTCGTATTTCCATTTTTGAAGTGAGGAAATGAGGTACAGGGAGACTAAGGACCTTGCCCAAGGTCACACAGCCGTGAAATGATGGACAGAAGCTGTGAGACCGCAGGAAGCACCGTGACCACCTGGAGAATTAATTCAAAGGTAGGATGGGGAGAAAGTGTTCCTCTTTCCTGATGCTGCACAGGACACTGGGATTTGCCGGGTTTGGGGACAGTGTCCCCGGACAAGGAGGACAGTGCTCAACAGTCCCCAGAAGAAGGTTTCTGTGGGCCTGTGGAGGAAGTCAGACACACAGCAGGACCGCGTGGAGCGGGACAGCCGGCCCTCCTCCTCCACGGGGCACCCTCCCTGCCCAGGCCTGGGTACCACATTCAGCGTTCAGACTCTGGACCACAGCCTCATGCTGCGTGGCCTCCCTCATCCCCTGTGATCAGCCTCAGCAGAGGACCAGGGGGCTCCTCGGGAAGGGGACACAGTCACACAGCTGACAGATGGTTCTGGGGAGAGGCCAACCCCACTGCCTCGGACGGTGCCGGATCCCCGACATGGGCTCCGGCTGGGCCTACAGAGGCCACCTCTCATCTGAAAAGCAGTTTCAAAGCCAGGCTGAGCCCAAGTCCTGGGCATTCTGTACGCTCCCTGGGTATCAGGCGATTCTCCACGAAAACTTTCCTAGAAGCACCACTTTGGGCCAGCCTGGCTGTGCATACCTGGAACCCCAGTGCTCTGGGAGGCCGAGGGGAAAAAAAAGAAGCATTTTGTTCACATCTGCCAGTCCACTGGGACACTGACTGGTGACAGTGGGGGTTCCGGAGGCTCACCTGGCCTGAGGACCTACCTACCTGGAATTCAGAGCAGGGGCCAAGCCTCAGCTCCTGACCCCCACATGTGACTGCAGTGAACCACCCGGCCCCGGGCCGAACCATCCTCACAGACCTTTGGCTTCCATTGTCTGGCTATCTGGGGCAGCCCCCAGCTAGACTTGATTATCGCAAGCTTGAAATAGCTCTGAATACACAGAGCTGGCTCAACTTCTAAAATCAGTCTTTGGGGCCCCCAGGGGTCTGGTGGCGCCGACATCTCCCGGTGCTGCCCTCAGGGCCCTCTGTCTGGAAAGGAGCAGGCGGGCTCCCCCAGACTACTCTGGGCTCAGGGTGAGCAGCCAGCCCTGCCTCCTCCCTGCTCTCTGGGTGCCCCAGCTCCTCCCCCAGAGAAGGCAGAACAGGACTGGCTGGCTGGGACCCGAGGGGCAGCCCCGCCTGCTCCGAGCAGTGACAGTTCTGGGTCTCTCCCTACTCTCAGTGAGCTCCGCCTGCTGGCCTGGGTGTGGGCCCCGAGGCCCCAGCTTCCCCAGACCAAAGGTCACCAACAGCCAGGCCACTGGGAGTGAGCAGGGGAGCTCCAGCAGGGGAGTCAGCCGAGGAAGGTGGGAGGGAGAGGGGAACAGGCGGTTTGATCCTGGGGCCTCAGAGCCTCTTCTGGGCCCTGGGCTGGCGTGGCTGGCTCAGTTTCCCTCACTTGCAGCCTGCCGCCTCTAGATGGGCTCCCAGACGGCCCCTCCTGCGCCTGAGTGCCAGTTCTCCCCTAGGACTTGAGTGAGAGGTCACCAGGCTGCCAGGCTCTGGAACGCAGGTCCCTCTCACTGAGCTGCTCAGGCGGGCTCCCCTGGCGGGATTCACAGAGTAGAAGCTGTCAGACTCGCTAATGTTGAAGTCTCTGACCCTGGCTGTGGGCAAGGGAGGCTGCTGGTATGGGTTTTCCTGCTGGTCCCCGTGGCCTTGGTGGGCCATGTTCCACCTCAGCCCAGTCACAGGCGGGGCTCCACGTGGCAGCCGGTCCTCCAGTCAGGCCTGTTTATGTCCAATAGTTCTGCCTCCAAGCTGTCACATGCCCTCTTGTGGGGACATCCAAGCACAGGGAAAAGCCTGACAGGGATAGCGTGGAGGGAACTTTAAACTAGCCGGGGCACTGGATTTAAGGCTTCTGAGGGTAAGCTTGGCGTGGGGCGGGAGGGGACAGGGAAGGAGCTACGGCTGGGCATGGTGGGGATATTGACGGAGCCCCGCAGAGGATGCAAGCTCCTGTACTGGCTCGTTGCCTGAGGCGTGGCCTGCCAAGTGAGGGAGAGGCGCTGTCAGAGACCAGGAACCGTGGGAGCAGAGTCTGGAAGCTGTGTTCAGGAGGAGTGTGTAGAACCGTAGGTGAAGGGCTCCAGCTGAGCACCTGCCCTTCCAGGCCTCTGGCCACAGGTATGGTCTGACTGCGTCCCCGTCACATACACACAGTCCTCATACTCTGCAGTACCTGCCAAGGTGATCTTATTTGGAAACAAGTTCTTTGCAGACCTAACACAGTTAATTTGAGGTCATGACAGTGGACCCTAATCCCCTGCAACTGGTCATCTTGACGGAAGAGGAAATTTTCTGCTGGACACAGTGGTGCACGCCTATAATCCCAGCCTCTTGGGAGGCTGAAGCAGAATGATTGTAAGCTCAAGGACAGGCTGGACAACTTGGCAAGAACCTGTCTCAGAATAAAACAGCGAGAAGGGCTGGGAAGGAGGCAACGTAGTAGAGCATTTGCTGTGCGTGTGCAAATCCAAGTTCCACCCCCGGTACTGCAAAGGAAAAGGAGAATTCGGACACAGGCACCCAGCCACGTGCAGGCACAAACACGGGGGGAAGAGGACCACGTGAGGATGAGGACAGGGACCCTGATGATGCCACCACAAGCCAAGGCACACCTGGGGCTGCCGGGTGCTGGAAGGGTTGAGGAAGGCTCCTCCCTGAAGGCTCTGGGGAAGCAAGGCCTTGTCGGCCCCAGGATTTCAGACTTCCAGCCGTGAGAGCTGGAGAAGCTTCTGTCGTCAGGGACCCTGTTGGTGGCAGTTTGTTAGCGCAGCTTAGGAATCTGACCCAGCCAGGCTGGCTCTGCCTGGGTGCCTCCTCCACGCCTGCCCCGCTACCTAGTCCTCTGGCTGCCCATCCTGTCCCAGGCCGCCCACGTGCATCTGGCTCTGTGCCCTTCCTCACCCGGCAAAACTGTGAGGTGAGCTGGCAAGCCTGTGCTCACGCCTGCCTTGTGGGAGGGCAGTATTTGACCTGGCAGAGTGGGTGCTCCTTAAATAAGGGGTGGGTGAAGGAGAGGCCCAGGAGACACGCGCCGTGCGACCCTGGCTGTGCCACCCACCGGATGTGCCATCCACTCCTCCTATAGCCGGGCCTAGCTCAGCCTGGGGACATGGAAGTCCTCAGCAAGCACACCGGCTGT